GTTCCAAGAGTTTACAACCCTCACTCCGAAAAAGTTTGCCCTCACGGTTTTCTGGACTTGCGGCTTCTTCAATCTTGAGCTGTGACCCCTTGTGGGGCGAGCGTCCGCCAGCTCCAAGTAAGGACACTCAACTGAGTAGTGCCCCCTGAGATGCTTATAAACCTCAACTAGGTCCCCCCTTGCCCGTCTGTAGTATAAGCTAGGCAAGTTCAGGCGCTCCAATCTCTCAGGGTAGCTGAGGTGCCGAAGTGCAGGCACCAGTTGGTGGCCCTCCTTTGAACATTTTCAACCAACTGACAGTCCCTAGCATATCTCGGGGACCAGATGGGGTGACAGTACTCCAGATGGGAAAGCACTTCACTCCTGAAGATCGTCACGAGGGACGGACCGTCTAGATATCTGAACGACCTTCTTATAAGACCCAATAATTTATTTGCCTGATTTACCTTCTTCTCACAATGGCCCGAGAACTTCAGCTCATTGTCAACATACACACCTAGGTCCTTCTCACACACAGTCTCAACTAGTACATTTTCTTCATCCCGTTGGGACATATGGTACGCCTCCTTACCGTTGGTACGCCCCAGGTGCATCCTCTTACACTTCGTGACATTGAATCTCAGCAGCCATTCCTTCGACCATTCCTGGAGCCCACAGAGGTCCTTCTGCAGCTCTTCACAGTCCGCTTGGTTCTTAATTTCCCGAAATAACTTGCCATCATCGGCAAACATTTGTATGGAGGAGTGTACAACGTCAGGCATATCATTTATGAAACAAACAAACAACAGCGGGCCCAATACACTACCCTGCGGTACCCCACTTGTTACAGGTACAGATGACGATTTCGTGCCATTAATCACCACACATTGCTTGCGGTCATGTAGAAAGTCTTCTATCCACGCTAGGACATTTCCCCGAATTCCGTACCCTTCCAGTTTGATTTTCAGCCTTTCGTGGGGTACACTGTCGAAAGCCTTGGCAAAATCTAGGTAAATATTGTCGATATTACCACCCCGTTCTAGAATATGGGTCCAAATATCCAATACCTTGAGCAATTGTGTTAAGCAAGAGCGCCCCGGCATAAAACCGTGTTGGCAATCTTTTACAAGGTTGTTTCGTAGTAGATGTTCCATCGCGGCATCTCTGATAATACTCTCAAGTACTTTACATATTATGCTGGTCAGGCTCACCGGTCTATAGTTGTTCGTGGAGTGACTATCGCCCTTCTTGAAGATAGGACTCACATAAGCCACTTTCCATTCACTGGGGACCATTTGTTCATCCAGGCATTTACAAAACAGAATCTTCAGGGGCTCTGCAAGCTCGTTGCACAGCTCTCTTAGCACTCTAGGATGCACCATGTCAGGTCCAGGACTCTTATGGACCTTTAGCCTGGACAGTTTATTTCTAATACCCTCTTCTGTGAACACAATGTAGGTCAGTGCTGTGTCGAACCGTCTGTCCTCAAACGCAGGAAGGTTAGTTGCATCCTCTCTTGTGAACACTGAGGAAAAGAAGCTGTTCAATGCCTCAGCTTTATCCTGGTCAGAATCTGCGTAACTACCATCTTCAAGCCTCAGGTCTGATACTCCTACTCGCGTTTTCAATTTCGACTTTGCATAGCGTACTGCCAACGCAATAGAGAACATCAACCAGTACGAAAAAAAGTGGAAGATACAAACGAACACCAACAAGTTCAAAATAATCCCAATCGCTAAAAGGAAAAAAGACCCCATTATAGTAGACAACAAAGTGATTCCATATGCCATGGAAGGCACTGTCCTAGGGCTGAAGATAACAACAAAAGGCTACAAAACATTCATCACCGAAAAACTTGCAAAAACCAGAAACATGGTAATTAAATTAAAACGCTTCAGAAGCCTGTCAGCAAAAAACAAGTTAAAGTTATATAGAGCCTTTGTCCAATCCCGACTAGTATATCCGCCAATTCCCCTACATGCAATAAAACAAACAA